TGACTCGGGTTTGCGCACTTCACAATTAGGCACTGGGTTTTTAGAGAAGAGATATTCGTGGGTCATTCTGGTATGTCCAATCCGTAATCTGGACAAAATGCATTGGTTGAGACGATCGGATAATAGTGGGAATCTTTGCCAAATGTTTTCTCTGCTACTATGCAGTTTTGATGTTTAAGATGTCCAAGTGATGTTCCAATTTTTTCTAGTGTACTTTTGAATAGTTTTCGAACAGCTTTCTGAGAAACACTCAGGGTGAGATCCTCTCCCTCTGTCGTTGCTCTTCGTGCTTTAGAATCATCGTTGTTATTTCCTCTGATCCCTTGATGAGAAGGGATCCAAGCTAGGACGATATCAATTTGGTCTTTTTTCAGCTTCAGAAGTTTCTGTTCGAGATTGCGTCGATGACAGATTTGGAGTCCAACAGGATGATGGCTTTATTCTGTTTTCTCTCATTTATTAATAATATTGCTTGTGCTATTGCAAACATCTTAAATGAAAAAATAGTAAAACTTTCTGGGAATTTGTAGATGAACCTTTTTTCATTAAATATCACCGTACACCCTCTATTTCCCTCCAAGATAAAACCATCGGTGTAGATTTTTGTGTGATCAGGGTATTTGTGCATCATCTCATTGAAGAGATTCATATAAACTGTAGCGGAAGTTTCAGTTTTACCATCAGTCATTTCACAAAGTTCAGTGTTGATTTGGAGTCCAAGGTTATTCCAGGGTGGAATAGGGTGATTTCTTCTATTGACGACACTGAGAAGACCTAATTCCTCGATTGCTTGAGTGGCTCTTAAGGATTTTCTACATGTATTCGCAAAAATATAAGAAATTGATGAAATTTTTTTTAAAGCTTCTCCAATCTATTACAGAACCGTATGAAAAATTCCAGATTTTTTTGATACCCCAGAACAAAGTTATGATTTAAAAAAAAAAAAGCAATTCAACCCGTGTTCTCATGGGAAATTCACAAAATCTTAGAAAAAAGTCGGAAAAATGCTTCTATCGTGATGAAACTTTGCACACAGTTAAAAAATGATCAAACGCACAATCGCTATATTTTTTTCAATCGATCAGATCAATAATTTGGAACGAAAAGTTGAGAAAACATCGAAAATTTTTGATCGACTGAAATTCCTGCGCGCGCAGCTCCAACATGCGACAGCGTCGCAACAGTTCTATAGATAAATGGGAACGCGCCAAATACAAAAGTGCATAGTATTTCTGTTGCTCCGTGGATAGGTGAATGAATAAAATCTGTAAACGAAGTTATAAATGAAAGAAATTATGCTTCGTGAAAAATATAAGAAAGTATGATCAACGTGTTTTTATCTTGTTAAATGGTTAAACAGTTTTCCCGTTGAAACGTAACATCGATGACATCGTGGCCAGTGATGAGTGATGAGGTTATGTGACTGGAGCGCACTTTGAGAGAGAACTGAAGACGAATTTCCACATACACTGAACTAAAATATTCCACGAAATTTCACACAATATTTTTTAAACATTTTCTGTTCCCTCGAATATCACCGTCAATGCAGAAATTATAATTGTTTTAGTTGTCGGTTAGAATGCGGAGGTAAACAGTCTAGAGTGGCTGGGGAGCCAACGTTACCAACTCGCCTCACCCAAATTTTGTAGTGGGCGACGTTGCCTCTGTTCCGAACTGAATTTTTATTATTTTAACAATTATTAAATACAATTATAAAAAAATTCTAATGTAATTGACGTATTGCCATGACGAATATATGATATGAAAAAAATTTTAATCCCAGTAAAGTCGCCAAATAGCACCTCAACGAGGTAATTGAAAGCTCGATTTTTTCGGGTTCAGGGATTGGAACACTTACGAAAGTCATACCCCTCTACACCTCCCCCCCCCCCCCCCGCTACGGTGCATGTAGAAAATCCTTAATAGAATCGGTTGGGGGAGGAAAACTTTTTCCCTGAAAACTGGATTTAGGGATGACTGTGGAGTCTGTTCTATTTTAACTATTTTTTCTGAGTCTTTTATGGACAGAGGAAAGTATGCTATGCATTGCTCCTTTCTTCTCAGATGAAGAGGGTATTCTCGAGCTTCCACTAAAATGCTTGCATTAGGGCTGCTACGAAAAGCCCCTAGGGCCAATCGTAGGGATGTGGTTTGAATGGAATTGAGTTTTGCCAGGAAGTTGTCTGGCTAAACCGTAAATGATAGCCGCATAGTCTAGTCTCGAACGAATTATTGGCTGATAAGTATCAGGAAGTATTTGTTGGTCTGCTCCAAAATTTTTTGAAGCCAGAGCTTTAATAACTTGGATTCTCTTATTGCATTCAACTTTCTGATTGTTTACATGGCTTTCCCATGACAGGGCTGGGTCGAACGATAATCTTAGTGTCTTCATAGATTCAGTTTGGATGAGTTCTGAATCTTCTAATTTGAGCCTTGCTTGAGAGGTGTCGATGCTCCTGGATTTGCTCATTATCATAAATTGGGATTTGGGGGCGGAGAACTTCAATCCGGATTTTTTACATCATGAGACCAAACTGTTTAAATTACCTGGACGTATGTTGAGGGTGGTGCTGAGACTCTTCCCCGAGCAAAGGATTGTCAGATCATCCGCGAACAAGAGTTTTTTCACTGGGGCTCGGATGCTGGAAAGTACGTCATTTATGGCAATTAGGAACAAGGTCACACTGATCACGGAGCCCTGAAGGATTCCATTTTGAATTTCAATTTCGTCGGAAAAATGACCTCCCACTCGTACTTGGATTTTTCTGTCCTTGAGAAAATTTCTAATGTACTCCACCAGATTTGCGTGGAATCCCATTTTTACGACAATCCCTAGGATCCGAGCTCTCCATACAATCTCGTAGGCTTTCTCTATATCCATCGCTATCATCACTACGTGATCATTTGCCAAGGCATTGCAAACGAGGTTGTGGAGCTTTGCGAGGTGGGTTGTAGTTGATTGGAATTGTCTGAATCCACTTTGATGATTTGAGAACCATTCTTCTTCTTCGAGGGCCCACTTCAATCTCCTATTTACCATCTTTTCCAAGATTTTTCCAAGATTGCAGGTGAAATCAATTGGACGGTCGTTAGAAGGCTTCGAATGATCATTTCCGGGTTTAGGAATGGACACGACTGTCGCAAGCCTCCAACCCTGTGGAAAGGAACGGGAATTCCACATGGGATTATAGAGTTTCAAAATATATTGAAGACTATTGGTACTCAGATTTTTAAACAGAATGTTTAGAATTCCATCTTTCCCCAGGACTGGAATTTCCTGAGGACGAGAGAGCGAATTTGAGTTCATCCATGCTGAAATTGGAGTTGATGCTTGAAGTGATTCTTGGATTGATGGGTTTCACGTTTGAGTGAGGATTGTGAGAAAACTGCTTGAATTTCTTCCTCTATAGGGTCTAACTGTTTCTCTTGGTTGATTTTGAAAGCAAGGAAATCTGGATGGTAGTTTGAGTCACTAGAATTGTCTGCGAAGGTTTTCGTAAGAAGGTTTGCAATTTCCGGTACACTAGTGACATTTTCTACTTCAGAATTTATTAGTACTCGAGAGATTTTTGAGTATTTGTGGCCTTTGATTCTGCTAATTGCTCCCCAAATTTCACTGTTTGTCATTTGTCGTTTTTTTAGTGCAGATATGAGGGCTTTCATATAATTGAAAAAGGATTCTATCAACGTTCTTCTGGCTTTTGCACGCAGTCTCTTGTGTTCCATTTTAAGTTCTTCATTATCTTCATGTTTTTTATATCTATTGAAGGTGTGTTTGCATTCTCTGATGTCTACGGAGCATTTATCGTTCCATCAAGGTAAAGGTTTTTTCCCGAATTTACCGGAAACGAGTGGAATATTTTCGTTGGCTGCCTTAGAAATTAGATCCGTCAGTTCTTCAAGGAGATTGTCAATGGATAGTGAGGAAAGATCGGGATCTTCCAAACTACCCATTAATGTGTCTGAGTATTCCCGGAATCCAATTCAGTCCGCCTTCTTGAAGTTCCATCTAGGTTTATTTGCCTGTGATGTGGACGACTCTTGATTTTCAACTTCAACGTCGGGGGTAGAGTAGCGAATGTAGATTGGGAAGTGGTCGCTACATTGAGATATTCGTCGACGCACCACTCTAGATTAGAGACCAGGTCAGCCGAGCAAACTGACAAATCTATAGAGCTGAGATTTCGTTAGTGGATCGTTAGTGTTCAATAAGATCAGGTCCTCGTCGATTAACCAACTTTCGACTATTTTTTCTCGACTGCATGCTCTGGATAAGGGGTCTCCCCAAAAGGGGCTGTGACTATTGAAATTACCAACTATGAGGAAGGGTTTGGGAAGTTGATGGATCAAGTCTTGTAGGCTCAGGAGGTCAAGTGTTTGGCTATTAGGGAGATATACGTTACATATCGTTATTCTGTTGGGAATTTTGACCTGTATTGCTACAGCTTCGAGGGTTGTGACCAGACGAATTTCCTCATTTGGTATGTTTTCTTTGACATTTATTGCAACTCCTCCACTTGCTTTACCACAGTCAACTCTATTTTGACACCAACATTTATATCTTCTCAAACTATTTCCCGATGGTCTCTTAAAATTAGTCTCTTGGAAGCAGAAAAGATCTGGATTGTATTGATTTTGACGATTTTTAATAAACGTGGATCGGGCATTGAACCCGTTTGAGTTCCACTTGATTAAATGCATCAATCCAATGGAAGAACACTTGTAGTTCTATTTATTCAGGAGATAGTGGAGAAGACTCTCCCCTTCCACCAGTGATTTCTTCTAATTTCTCCAAGTCGTGGAATTCCTGGGAAACGATTTCCGGTGACATTGAATCTACATTTTGTTTTCTTTTTCCTTGATAATTTTGGACTTAATTCTCGTAAAACGCCCTTTCATTCCACGAGAACCTAGAAATGGGTACAATTTAGTCAGGATATTACAGGTTTCATCCATGTTAAGCTCGAAATCATTCATTATCTCGACCATTGCTTGTTTACCTTTCGATCTCTCCACAAGATTAACTAGTTGGGGGAAGTAAAGAGCACTCATCTCTTCTTCAACTGGGGCGAATTGTGTTAACATCTCAGCAGGCTCATCGCTTATTTTTCTCTGCTTTTTCGATCTTGGGGGTCGGGTTTTCATGGATTCCTCGTTAGTCTCCGAAATGTCGTCCTCAGAGTTTCCTGTCTCTGAGTCAGCTACCACGTGTTTGGATGCGTCGAGGCTAGCCTGTGAGATTGTCGATGGAGATTTCGGGCATTTATTTGCTGGTGATAATGGGATTATCGGTGATGGTGAACGGAAAGGATCACAAAATGTAAGAGGATCTTCGGGGGGAGTTTCCTCATCCATCCCTTAATGGCTACCGTCAGAAGTGCTTACATTTTGCCCCACTCCGCGAGTTGTTTGGGAATTTAAGATTTGGTCGGTTACTAGCCTCTCGGGACAGTATTTAGCGATGTGACCTTCTTGATTGCACTCGAAACATTTCAAGTTTGTTGAATTAAGAAAGATACGATGGTTGGTACCGTTGTGGTAAACATAGATGTTTGAAGGTAAATCGCTTGCTGAATTAGGACTAACGTAAATATCCCTGCGGTAGCAGCGTACATGATCGAAGCCTTCGCCGGCATCCAATCCTGCTTTCATGAATTTCACTGGGGAAGTTATTTCAATTTTCTTTTCTTTGAGAGGCTTTTCAATAACTTCGTGGGAGATACTGGGACGAACGTTAGAGATGATGATTCTCTGATGTCTTGCGACGAGAGGACTGGCTTGTAGGGTTTTGTTGTTGATTTTGACTGTTTTGAATTCATTTAAGTACTTGTCTGCTAGCTCTTTGGAAGACAGGTAGCAGAAAAATCTCTGTTTAGACATTTTGTAGACGTATTGGATCTGTTTTCTCTCAACATGTGCTGCAATTGCGATTGCATATTTTGTGGCACTGACCTTCTCCAGAGCTTCAAACACAAGAGCTTGATAGTCGGTTGGGAACATTTGTTTTTGTGCTACGGAGACGTAGCTGGCTTTTGTAAGTTTGGGACATTTTAGCTCGGATTCTATTAGGATCCTCTGTAATCAGAGAGATACCCGAGTGGAAATTCTGTTCAGGTCTCGATCAGAAACTGATCAAGTCCGATCCGAAATTCTGATCAGACATATTACGCCTCCATCTTACGTTTTTCCACTAGGGTTTCTCCACCTACCATCATTAGACATTAATTAAATTCATTTTTTTTTTTTGAGAGAAAAAATTAGTAACTTCCTAAACGGGAAACGAACCCGGGACCTCCTCATGTCGCGTCGGGTGCTCTTACTTTTTTTTTGTTTAACCAGGTGTTTATTCAGAAATACAACATTATTTACAGTATATACATTTATAAAAAATAGTATCTAAAAAGTATTTGTAAAGTATCATTTTCAAATAAACTTTGGTCTCTTTTGCGACTCTCGAGTTTAAACAATATCGTAACTTTTAGATGATTACATAACAGAGTATGATTGTGTTTATTTCCGCCAGTTCCCCAGCTTTCATTATTAATTATTGTGCCCAAAAAAAAATATTTAAAGAATTATTCTAGTGTGGAAAAAAAGGCACGTCACTATTTGAAAAAGATAATATTATTGTAATGAATTACAATACGTATGATTTAATAATATCAGAGTACTATTTGAAATTTTTGGTATAATAATTATTAATCTAATTAGTTGATATTTTAGTTTGCACTATGGTAGACTGGTTTTTTCCTCAGCATTTAATTATTATTTTTTGTATTCAGATTGAGATAATTTATAATTGATGAAATATTTTTTGTATTTGTATCTACTTAATCATAGAGTTTTTGGAAATTATTTGTAATTGCTGTGATAATATCTCGTTTCATAACAGAGACCCAAAAGGGGATTTGTTCAACATCAGGTCGATCATTATTTCCATGATTTTTGTTAATATTGTTCATGGTTTGCATTGGATTGTGAATATAATTTTTTGAATTATTGGAAGAAACTGAGTCTGCACATGTGTACTCTCGACTAACTTTTGTACTTATTTTTTGAATTTGGTCATTCACCTATTGATTTCTGATTTGAGAATTAGATTTAGCAAGTTCATTAGTAATTTTGAAATATAAACAACCTTTATAGTTAGCTGGATGACCAGAAAATTGACAGTTAGCGCATTTTAATAGTGCTTTATCTGAATCTTTAGATAATACACATTTTCCAGGTTCATGATTTTTACTGCATTTCACGCAACGAAATGCAAGAGAGCAATTAACACTGGAGGTCCTATTCTTTGACAATTTTTACATTGAAAAAATTGTTTTTTTCTCAGGGGTTCTCATTTGATTTTTTGATATAAAATAACTTTAATTTTTACTAGCAGAGATAATAGTGAATCGTTGGATATTTGAATAAGATAAACATAATTCTTTGAATTCTTGTTGAAGAACGTTTTCGTAACTTTTAGAATTTTCACATTACTTAAATGAAGATCATTGAATTCTTTGTGGATTTCATCATCGGTGAAGGTCCCAAATAATCCTTTCAAAACAATTGTCTTTGCTTTTTCACTTTTTAGAGTATAAGAATAGAATTGAATTTTGTTTTTCGATAGTATTTCTTTGATTGATCTAAAAATTTCAATTTCAAGAGGAGAAATTGTTACACTCGATGAATCATTGTATTGTTTGTGACCTTTTCCTAATTTCAATTAAATAAATACTTGAAATGATGAGAGGGTAATTGAAAGAAAAAGGGCAATTAAGGGGTTAAGTATAAATCATGAAATATATTCTCTGAACTTTACAATTAATAGATCGTCAGAAGACGTCAAACAGGCCTTTACTTGAGATCTAGGGGAGTGGGGGAGGCCAGGCAACTTTTGTACACGTAAAAAGGGGATGACTCTAATGCAGATAAAAGGGGAGAAGCTAGTTGTGTCGAGGGAAGTAATCGAAAGCGATAACTAAATCGGATAATTTAGTGAGGGACAAAAAGAAATGTGTGCGCTCACCGTTGGGGGGTATGAAGGGCAATATTGTGGGGACAAGAGGGAAAATAAAGGGGGTAACTCGTACTCACGACGGGACTTCACTCTGGCGAACACGTGGGAATTCCACCGGCGCCTTGCACTCCTTCAAAATACCAGGGCGTTTTCCTGGAGAGCCTCCTTTCCACCTCGGGGTTTCCTGGGCACCAATACTAGAGCTGGGATGAGCTCAATGTATCAAAAGTCCTCTTTTAATCCGCCAAATAACTTCCGGGCGAATTTTACTGTATTCACTATTTACTACTTTCGGGGCACGTGGCGACTCACGGGGCAGCTAATGCACGAGTGACGGTCTTTTCTTTTCCTTCGCGATTCGTGGGGGTGCGTCAGGTGTCGATGTCCTTCGGTTTTTAATTTGGGAGCAATCGGGGCCAATCAACACGGGTGAGTGGTGACGATGACCACAATCCAGGGATGTCTCACAAGGGTTTATTGCAGGTGTTGAATATTCGGGGGTCCAGTATGGGGAATTTCCAGGGGGCGATGGCTTCTCCAATTAATCGGGTGGGGGCGGAACTGATGTCTTCCTTCGGCTGATGTCTTCGTGATGTCCAGGGGCGGGGGTAGAGGGGCGATGAGGAGAAAAGCGAGGGAAGAGGTAACCAACGGTGGCGAGAATTTGCGGTTTTAGGGGGCAGTGTGTGTTGGGGAAAAATATGTATAAAAATAATAAAAATTAAATAATGTGCCTCGTCACATGTCTTAAATGGAAATGTCCTTCAAAATTCTTATCTGTATTGAGTATGAGGTCAGCTACCTGCATTAGCGAAAGGCCGTACACGTGTATCGGTGGGGGCTTCTTTGTTGTGTGAACTGTGTGTCTTGGAGTATTGGTATCGCTACGAGTTTCTGTCTCACTCGCACTCTCTGCATTCGATAGGCTGCTGTATATGTCTAGTGGTGATTATGTTGGACTTCTATTTATAGCACGAAGGGTGGTCGCAGTTTGGCGACGTTTCGGCAATTCCCAGCGTTTCTCTGAATCGTCTCTATTGTCCTCCGAATTTGATGAACAATTCGGGGAAAATTCGTGATGCCGATCGACCGTTGTCGGCGTAATATTTGAGTTTACTAGATCTTTAGTAGAGGAAATCCTTACTGGATTTTTTGATCGATTAATCTTGGAGGGATTAAAGTTGTTCACTGACTCCTATTGGAAACCGATGGGTATTTGAGATGAACTCTAGTATTCCGAACCATTAGCACTAAGTACTGCCAAACAATGGTTCGTATGAAACTTGAATTAGTTTTATTATTGCTTTCACTTTGTTGTTGAGTTCAAACACATTATTAATGATGCTAGATAAGATCAGTATTTTCGTAAATACGATATACAGACAGTAGCGTCGTTTAGCGTGACGCACGTCTGAACACCTTCACTGCCAAAGGCAGACTGTCCATCGGGTGCTCTTACCTGCTGAGCTACCAGGACACTTACGAATTTCACTCTTAAATTCACTCATACCCGAGTAGAAATTCTGTTCAGGTCTCGATCAGAAACTGATCAAATCCGATCCGAAATTCTGATCAGGCATGTTACGCCTCCACCTTATGTTTTTCCACTAGGGTACCTAAAGAAAACTTAGTACCTTGGGATTCTCTGTAGCCAGAGAAGATCCCAGAAAAATTATTCAAGGGCAAGAGCCCTTGTGAATGAGGAATTTGTTGTATGAAGAGAGAATTTCCACTTTCTTCACACACTGCGCACTAATCAATTTCGAATAGCTCGGGCAAAATATAAACACGCGGATCGGGGTAAACATACGTCCGAACTCTACGGCCGCTGCCGTCAGACTGAAATGTAGGTATTGTTGAATCCTATGAATCACCATTATTGAAAATTTAATTCATCGGTTAGTTTTCTAAATTTTCGAATTTTTTCGAAAATCGATTGTCCTATGATACCTAAAAATAATGTTCTAAATTGATTGAATGATGGCTTAAAAAAATTGTTGGGATGTCTTTTCGACCGAGTTCGAATCTGCAGGCGACAGCAGTAATCGTTTTTGAATTCATTTGAAAATTTGCAAAAAATTTGTATTTTTGGAAAACCAGAATTCTGGGGATATCTTTGGAGATCATGCTTCAAATGAATCCAATCATAGCTTAAAATATTTGTTTTAATGCCATTAAGTCGAAGTTAAAAGATGATTAGGATAGCTATATTGGTTGATTTGATTTTTATGATGATTGTTGAATATTTCGAATTTTTCAAGAATTTCCCTGAAAGTGAGCTTTCTGATGGTTTTTTCAAATGTGATGTTTCAAATTCATTCAAGTATGCGTAAATAAAATTTTTCTCTTAATATTGCATGGAAAGCCTCAGGGGAGAGATAGAACTGTAAAAAAGCCAATCGGTTGTATAGAAGAAAGGGAGAATAAGAATAATGATGATGATAACATTCAACTAAGTTGAAAATCTGGCAAAATTAGTTAAAAAGAAATCTTATGCAATTTAATAAAATGTAATAAACAATGAATTATACATGATAGAAGAAAATGATGTGCAAAATAACCATACGGAAGCATATTACAAATTTACTACCAAAAATAACTACAGTATATGCAATACAAGAGCAACTTCCCACTTGTTTTTATGTGCGTAAAAAAATACATGCCGCTTCAAATGCCCAATACCTATAGATAGTGATCTAAATTATTTTCTTCATCTAATAATTATCCTTACATATCCATCTAAACTCGATTTAAACGCCTTGTTTATCGTAAAATCACATTTGGGTGCCTCGCCGTCGGATGGCCATACCTTCACATCCTTTAAAAATTTTTTCATTTGACATTTTTTCCTAAAGTCGCTTGACAGTTTCTCCTAAAGAAATTTTTTACAAACTTCCACAAAAAAGGAATTCAATCATCGCAAAAATGATGTTGCGTTACACTAAATTTCAGTTCAATCTGTGCATTACTTTTTGAGATGCACCAATGTCAAGAAATTTTTTTCTCGATATCACGAGAACCACTGCAATACATCAAAAAACGAACGTGTGAAGATTTATAAAAAATT